CTACATTTAGTAAGTTTCACATGTACCCTTGTAAGATACACCATAGGTGTGGTCCCACCAATTACCCATCCTTCCCCCTTCCCTCTTCTCTCCTCCCTTTCCCCATATTCCTGGGCTATAATTGGGTTATCTACCATGGGTGATAAAGAGAGACACTGTCTCTTACAAAAAAAAAAATTAAAAAATATTATTTCGGCTCGGCGCCTGTGGCTCAAGCGGCTAAGGCGCCAGCCACATACATCTAAGGTGGTGGGTTCAAATCTCCAGCCCAGGCCCGCCAAACAACAATGATGGCTGCAACCAAAAAATAGCCAGGCATTGTAACGGGTGCCTGTGGTCCCAGCTACTTGAAAGGCAGAGGCAGGAGACTCACTTGAGCCCAACAGTTGGAGGTTGCTGTGAGCTGTGATGCCACAGCACTCTACCCAGGGGGACAGCTTGAGGCTCTGTCTCAAAACAAAAAAAAAGATAATTTAGGTTGATGAAAACTTCAGTTTACAACCCCAGCCATTTCAAAATCCCTGTGTCTGAAACATGTTCTGCTCAGTTGATATGTTTTGTAATGAAAAATCTCAGTTGCCAAGAACCATCAAAAACAGCATTTCTAGATCCCTAAAAACATGTTAGTTAAGAGCACCCTAAAGTATACTCATTCTTCCTTGCCTTCTTCACCACAGTATATAAAAAACAATCTAGACTTTTTTTTTAAAACTTTTAAAAATTCTATTTAATAGTTTTATGGACCAAGAATTTGGGCAGTGGGAGGTGGCCTATGGCTCAAAGCAGTAGGGCACCAGCTCATATACTGGAGGTGGCGGGTTCAAATCCGGCCCTGGCCAAAATCTAAAAAAAAAAGAGATTGGGCAGTGCTCATTGTGCTCCACATGGTGCAAACTGGGGTCATTTCGTGATTTTGCCTCCTATGTAGCAGATGGGACGTTCTGGACAGTCGTAAGATGGCTTAGTCACCTTTAGATCCCTTTGCAGGGGCGGGTAGAAAGCTAAGCTGGGACTGTTAACTAGAGAATCTACACATGGCCTCTCTAGGCCTCTCCAGCGTGCTAGCATGTTTTTGTTTTTTTAAGTGGTATAACATTGTCATTATGAATCTCAATTCCTATAATGCTTTGTGCTGTCAGTCTTCACCTGAGTGTGTGGCACTGTTGCTTATACTCCCTGGACTATTGTGCTTTGGGCCTGCTCTTTTATTTTTTGGCTTAATAAGCTGATTCTCACCTGCAATCTAGAGCAGTACATTTGCTGCATAGGTGATATCTTACTGTAATATGGGCATTTAATTTGCTAGGTGTATATGTGCCTTCCTCGGGCACAACTAAGTGTTATTTAAGAAACTTACTGGTAAGTGTGCCTTAAAGAAGGAAATTCTGTGGTATATGCCAACATGGATGAACCTGGAGGTCTTTTTGCCAAGTGAAATAACCCAGTCACAAAAAGGGCAAAGACCGTGTGATTTCACTGGCTTGAGGTCTCTAAAATAGTAAAACTCACAGGAGCACAGAGCGGGATGGTGTTTGTCAGGGGATAGTGTTTGTCAGGGGCCGATGAGGGGGCATTGTTATTTGACACGTATAAAGTTTCAGTCATGCAGGAAGAGTAAGTTTGCTGTGCCTGTGGTTAATAATAGCATAGTGTATACTTAAAATTCTATTGAACGAATAAAGCTCATGTCAGATGTTCTTACTAGAATTTTTTTAAAGAAATGACTTAAGAGTTAATCTTTATTTTATTTTATTTTTTAGAGACAGAGTTTCACTCTATTGCCCTCGGTAGAGTGCTATAGCATCACAGCTCACAGCAACCTAAGCTCTTGGGCTTAGGTGATTCTCCTGCCTCAGCCTCCCGAGTAGCTGGGATTACAGGCGCCCACCACAACACCCAGTCTATTTTTTGTTGCAGTTTGGCCGGGGCAGGGTTTGAACCCACCATCCTCAGTATATGTGACTGGTGCTCTATTCACTGAGCCACAGGCGCTGCCCTAATCTTTTTTTTAAAGACACTAAAATATTAGAACTTAGTGTTTTTATTTAGCTTATTTTTAACCCTTCTCCATATGTTTTTTTTATTTTCAGGGTACAAACAACTAGGTTACAATGTTTGCATTTGTTAGCTAGAGTCCCTCTTATAGTCGTGTCCTGCAGCCAAGAGGTGTAAAAATATGAAACACTTCACAAATTTGCATGTCATCCTTGTACAGGGGCCATGCTAATCTTCTCTGTATTGTTTCAGCTTTAGTATACATGCTGCCAAAGTGAGCGTGCTTTTTTTTTTTTGTATAAAATTTATTTAGTTATTTATTTTTGAGATAAAGTCTCACTTTCTTGCCTTTGGTAGAGTGCTGTGGCTTCATAGCTCACAGCAACCTCAAACTCTTGTGATATAAGTGATTCTATTGTCATAGCCTCCTAAGTAGTTGGGACTAAAGGCATCCGCCACAATGCCCAGCCATTTTTTAGAGACAAGGTCTCGCTCTGGCTCAGGCCTTTGAGCTCAGGTAGTCCACCTGGCTTGGCCTCTCAGAGTGCTAGGATTATAAGTGTAAGCCACCATGCCTGGCCTTTTTTAAAATTTTATTTTATTCTATTTTATTTATTTATTTATTTATTTTTAGGTTTTTGGCCGGGGGTTGGTTTGAACTGGCTACCTCCGGCATATGGGGCCAACGCCCTGCTCCTTTGAGCCACAGGCGCCGCCTAATTTTATTTTTTTGAGACAGAGCCTCACTCTGTTACCCTGGGTAGAGTGCTGTGGCATCATCATAGCTCACTGCAACCTTAAACTCTTGGGGTCCATTGATCCTCTTGCCTCAGGCTGCAAAGTAGCTAGAACTACAGGATCCCACCACTACACTCAGCTAGTTTTTCTATTTTTAGTAAAGATGGGATCTCACTCTCACTCAGGCTGGTCTGCAACTCCTAAACTCGAGCAATCTACCCTACTCAGGCTCCCAGAGTGCTAAGATTACAGTAGTGAGCCACCACGCCCAGTCCTTCTCCATATTCTGATAAAACAATAAATGTTGAGAGGGCAGATATGGGGACAGGGTCAGTGGTGACTCCAGTTGGGAGAGGGGCTAGTGGACTTGAAGCTATACTTGCATAATAAGTACCTTCCTTTTGCTTAATTACACGTTTGTCTGGAGTGATAAATGGCATGGCATGACATCTTGGCTAACACTGCCAACCTATTCCTTGTGCAGAACTGGGAGGGTCTTTTGTACCCCTCAACTCTCTCATCACCATCACTCCTTGGAATCTCTAGAGTAGCCTTTCACTTTACATATACATGTATCTTCTTACTGTTTGTCTCTTATTACCCTGTGACAATTAAGGCTCTAAGATCATATTTTTTAGCCTGAATGTTTTTGTATTATATTTATGTGTGTATTTTAAAGTTCTCTAACCCTTTACTGTAAATGGAATAATAGTACCTCAGAGTGTTGTGAGAATGTTTAAAGTGCTCAGAAAATGTTAGCTATTACTGTTATTTGGTAACCATCATCTAAATTTTCTTTTGTAGAAACTGATTCAGCAGTACAGAAAGAACTTAGGAACCAGACACCTGCTCCATCTGCAACTCAAACTTCCGCTCCCTCTAAGTATCACCGAACCCGATCTGGGGGAGCCAGGGATGAACGATATCGATCAGGTGAGAAGGAACTGCAAAAGAACCAGCTGAATAGTTACTGCTGACTATGTTGTGAATTATGTATTCTGAGAACTTCTAATATTTGCTTTGTTTTTGTTTTCCCTTGAATTATCAAAAGGTCTGTATTATTTCATTCACTGATCATTTATTTTATGTGATAAAATGTTGAGTGTCTACCTTGTGAGGGGGAAAGTGGATACTCCATGTTTGCTGGAGATACAGCAGAAAGGCAGTGGGAATAAATAAGTAAACCAAAAATGAAGGGTTCGGTCACATGGTAGGGTACTGGGATTGCTCAGTAGACTCTGTTGGCAGGGGTAGGTCCTTTTGTGTTTGCCGGAGCTGTTGAAGTAACTAATCTTTTAACTAACAGAACAAGAACCAAAACTTACATGATGAAATTTCAAATTAAGGCTGGC